CTATCAGAGCCCCTTCAGTGACAAATTCCGTATTATACGGGCCAGCGGACTATGGGCTGATGTTATGTATATCCCCGATGATGACAGATGGGCCGGGAGGGATATTATTTCCAATGGAGATGGGTGGGCCCATCTATGCTGATATTATATATATCCTCAAAGATGTCGGGTGGGCTGATGTAATGGTTTATTGTATAGATAGGTGGGCTGAGGTACAGGAAGTATTTTGTACATGGGTGGGCCGAGGGAGTGGTGGAATATGTATTATATAGATGGGTGGGCCAATGTAAGGGTTTATTGTATAGACGGGTGGGCCGACATACTGGAATTATTTTGTAGACAGATGGGCTGACGGAGTGGTGAAATATTCATTATATAGACGGGTGGGCCGAGGTAGTGAGATATCTGTCTGACATTCACAGATTACCGAGTCCCAGATGCCCAAAAACCGAATCCCATTGTGCAACATCCATTCCAGACACCCGAACACCCCACCAAGTGCCGAGTGCTGAGGCCCGCACCCCGATGTCCGAAGCCTGAAACCCGCAGCCCGAAATCCAAAATATGTATACAACATATTTCCCTCACTGTACAAATCACTGGGTGTCGAGTGCCAAAACCCGAAACTCAAAGCATGGTACACAAATCACCAAGTGCCAAGTGCCGAGTGCCGAGTGCCGAAGCCCAAAACCCGAAAATATGTATACAACATATCCATATTTCCCTCACTGCACCAATCACCAAGTGTCAAGTACCAAAACCCAAAATTCGACACCTGGTACACAAATCACCAACTGCCGAGTGCCGAGTGCCAAGTGCCGAGTGCCGAGGCCCAATGTCTGAAGCCCGAAACCTGAGACCTGAAACCCGAAAATATGTATACAACATATCCATATTTCACTCATTGCACAAATCACCGAGTGTCAAGTACCGAAACCCGAAACTCAACACCCAGTACACCCATCACCAAGTGCCGAGTGCTGAGTGCCAAGGCCCGAACCCCGAACCCCGAAAATATGTATATAACATATCAATATTTTCCTCACTGCACCAATGACCAAGTGTCAAGTACTGAAACCCGAAACTCGACACCCGGTACACAAATCACCAAGTGCTGAGTGCCGAGGCCCGAAGCCCAATGTCCGAAGCCCGAAACCCGAAGCCTGAAACCCGAAAATATGTATCCAACATATCCATATTTCCCTCACTGCACAAATCACCGGGTGTTGAGTACTGAAACCCAAAACTTGACACCTCGTACACAAATCACCAAGTGCCGAGTGCCAAGTGCCGAGGCCCGCGCCCTGATTTCCGAAGCCCGAAGCCCGAAAATATGTATACAACATATCCATATTTCACTCATTGCACAAATCACCGAATGTCGAGTGCGAAAACATGAAACTTGAGACCCAGTACACAAATCACCAAGTGCTGAGTGCTGAGTGCTGAGGCCTGACATCCAAAGCCTGAAACCCAAAGCCTGAAACCCAAAGATATGTATACAACATATCCATATTTCCCTCACTGCACAAATCACTGAGTGTCGAGTACCGAAACCCGAAACACAACACCTGGTACACGTGACTACAACTGGACATGAATTCTGTATTTGTATGTATTATCCATCGACGTAGGGTTCAAATAACTTGGGAATTGTATTGACTACCAAGGGTCGGGACTCGGGACTCGCTAGTCAATATAGGAAAATGATAATGAAAAAATGAAAATTATTATTATGCTTAACTTTCTTAATGAAGGTTGTAGTCCAAGTCTATGTGAGTGTATTGGTGGTCCTACCAAGTATTGGTACTCAGTGTAGTGATGGTTGCGGTGCTGGGCTCAGAACCACTGATTTTCATACTCATGTCATTCTTGTCAATTGGAGATTATTTGAAGACTACGTTAAATGTTAGTCAGTGTCGAGTATGATAATGAATGTATAGTCATACCTCAGTCTGAGAACAAATAGACTGAGGTAGGATAATGCAGGTATGAGGATTATATATTTGTCTGGCATGTTAGCAATGATGTAAAGATGAGGCATGCATTTGTACATGTATGCAGTAAGTGAGCATACAGATAAAAGAATGAATATTAATAGGGAGACTTGCACATTATGTTGAGATATCCAACATGACAAGCCTGTGATGGGATCAGAGACCTGGAATAACACCCATATATGTCCATTATAATAGCCCTAATAGTTTAGAAAGACACATGAAGGATTGATGTAATGACAGGCATATGTGTGAAATGTGACAATAGACATATTTTTACAAAGTCACATTTATAGATGATTCAGGCCAAAGATTTCATTAAAAATATGTAGGATAGATTGTAAACTACCTAAGGAACCCATACTGCCTACTGCCTTGAGGGTAGGGGGTGGGTGGAAGGGATATAGTGAAAACATGAGTTGACTCAGCATTAAAGTCCTATTATTGCTTCACTGACCATTTTCGATGCTTTGGGTCTTTGAAGTTTCCCACACTCCATTTCTCATCTATTTCACTTCCTCAGTACTCAATTCTTGGTGGATTTGTCTGTAAATTTATGTCTATGATACTTAATATATTTTAAATGTACTCCAGGTTTCTGATCATGAAGATTCAATATTTTGAAGGTATGGGCCCCTTATCAGGAGAAATGGCAAGTATGCACACTAGCTCACAAACTCCAGCCTATTGTGAGCTGATCTTGGTCATAAGAGGCAATAATATAAGCTATGCTCATTATATATTAAAAGGTTGGATCATGGATGCAAGGGAAAGATACTGAAAATCGTGAAAAATGTCAAAAGTGCAATGGTCTATGCTTACATGTAATAATGCTGTCTGTAATATTCAATAATGCGAAAATGAGTAAATATGCACCAGTGGGGATAGATACGACTAGACAGGACATAGGAAGGATGACTCCGATGCAAAAATGTTGGGTCCGAAACTTTCAGGCCGGGGTCGGGCGTTGGGATCAGGATTGGAATGTCAGGGATGTGTTGGATAAATACTGTTTAATGTGAGTATCAAAAACACGGGTTTTGAGCCCAGTGCTGCGACTATCATTACACCAGGTACCAAGTATCAGAACCAAGTACTGAGTACCAAGTAATGAAATAACCAATTGACAAGAAAAGACTACCAATACACTCACCTTGACTTGGACTACAACTTTCATTTTTCATTCTCGCCAATGTTTCAGATTTCTTTAGCTCATATCTTGGTCAAATGATAACCGATGGACAAGAAAAGACTACCAATACACTCACCTAGACTCGGACAACAACTTCCGTGTTTTCATTATCTTTGCGTATTGCACACCAGGTTTTGAGTTTCGGGTTTTGGCACTCAACACTCGGTGATTTGTGCAATGAGTAAAAAATGGAAATATTGCATACATGTTTTCGGGTTTCGGGCTTTGGAATTTGGGCTTCAGATGTCAGGTTTTGGGCCTTGGCACTTGGCACTCTGCACTTGAGGACATCTCAATCCTGGGATATCCAACCGTCCGACCTCATCCGACCATCCACCCGCATCCGCACCAGCATAATAATCATCATTCCCACACATACATAATATACTACATTCAATAAAATATAATCCTATATATTAAGCTTGCTGTTTCCCACACGTCCTCGCTGTCAGCCACCTTGCAGCACAACATCAGGGATATTACTACATTAGGCCAAGCCGCTACTTATCAGTGCTGCTACATGCTTACCTCCCTGCACTGCACTCAATGACTACCATTCTAATACCATCAGCCCTTGAGATGCTGCAATTGCTGCATGATCAGCTCCCTACTGGCTCACCTCCAACATTCAGCACAATATTCCGCTTCATTACACTTGCACTGGGACTCAAGGACAACATCTTACTCGTGCAACCTGCCTCTCACCGCCCTGATAGTGCTCCTCTAGCTCTCTCTCCTGCGATCCAACTCTTCCTGGCTGGTAGCTGTGATATTTTAGAGAGTAATGTGGATATATATTGGAACATTCTTAGGAATGTTGTATGACATGGTGATGGGGGTGCATCAAGCATAGACATGTCGCTCTTTACGCATCATGGATGGCGGCATGGTATAGGTGAGTGGTATTACTTTTTATGAAGACTACTGACATGGACGACCTATGGGTGACAGCACCACACGTTCTTTATCCACCTCATCACACATGTCAGACACTTGACTGTCCCACTCATGTGCAAGGCTCTGTCCTCAAGAAAGCACAACAACGACAAGTTGTTCTCTACACACTAGATGATGGGCCTATTGTGACGTATTCTGTTCATCTCTATTGCATTGGTACGTATCTAACAAGTTTTCTTTTTCTTATCATCATGACACATTTTGCAGAGTGCAATACAAACTACCACCATGGCTTTAGTGTCAAGGCAGGTATTCGAACGTTCTACCCTGGGATCCCAGACATCTTGCAAGTTGGTGGGCACCAATTTGTAGAGATGAAGGTTGTTTATCTGTGGCGCACAATGATGCTCATTTCATGGTAAGTGCTATGTCAGGCTGACAACTTGACATACTTCTGATTGCTGCCTCATCTAGGATGTCCATGTCAAATTGTGCGCGACTGTATAACTCGGCGCTGATGCATAAGGCCACAACACCTCCTGGCTTTCCACGGAACTTTGAGCTTGCTGGGAATCATGTCTGGCATGGATTCGTACAACTTGCCCTGATTGAAGATGCCATAGAGCGCCATGTAGTCTTATCGGTACCCCAAGATGGGGACCAGAAGGCCCACTTTATGAATGCCATTATCGAACACAACAATCACATCCGAACTTACGGCCAAGAAGAGCTTTGACACTACTGCAACAAATGCACCTGCTTCTTTAGGAATGATGCAGGAATCATTACGAGCAAGTTTTCCATTGTTGTTACTGATGGGGTCACTGTTGGCCACCCGTGCTGCGCCGTCCATAACTGTCATGTGCCTCTTGACAACAACCGACATCACTATTGCCCGATGCATACACCCACTCATGGCCACAAATGTGCTATTGTCAGCTGCAGCAATGATGCCCTTGTCAAGAGCAAGGTTTGCCACCTTGTGGAGCACAAAGCGGTTGAGAGTACACACCAACTTTGAGGGCAAAGCCATTTCCAACTTCAGCAGCGTCTTCAGTGATCCCAACTCACAAATCCCACAGATTCTATTGCACAGGATGTGCCATTGGATGAACTCATCGATGATGCCCCTCTTGAGGAGGATTTCACACTCGCTGTAGATGCTGATGGGAATGTACAAGCTGCTGTAGCACAGGACAGTCCTGCTGTCAGTAGCCATAAGCTCCGCGCACAATTTGGGCGCCGGCGCATGCATAATGAACAGCTGATCGTTGCCCCATGTGGGATGATACTTGCAAGGGAGACATTTTATGGAGCGGAAGGTGTTGGAAGTGTCGTGGTATGTGAGCATTGTCAGCACTACAAATGGCCTGCTAATATGAATGATCCAGAAAATGATTAAACATGTATTCCGTTCTGATGACATCAAGCCAAAGCACATATTCTACGACAATAACTGCATGCTCTCTAAGATTGTCAAGGACGACGTGTACTTCAAAGACATCGGCCTTTCCGTCAATATTTTCCACTTCAACTGCAAACATGCGATTACCGACCGGTGGTGCCAAGAAAACTGCAATCCTGCATCATTTGAACATCTCCTTGGAGAAGATGGCGCTGGGTGGTACTTCAATTCGTCAGTTGCAGAACAGACGAATATCTGGTTTGGGGGATATCATGCCATCTGTCGTGAGATGATAGTTCACAGGTATAGATTTTTTCTTGACGAGATGGTCTTACAAAAGAATAGGTTGACAAGGGCAAAGCTGGAAAAGGAGGGCAGATGTCCTGCTAACTGGCCATTAAGTGGGTAGATAGTTGTTTTCCTGGTATCATGTCGTCTACAGGTACATCTCTTTCTCACCTAGATTTTTCGCAGTTAGTGACCTCCAGAACAGCACCTTCTGTTGTTACTTCCTCTATCTATGCCTTGAATAAATTCTTTCATCAAGCTTGATCTCAACCCCGCCAAGGTCATTGCCCTCTATCCTGAGTGCATTGCCGGACGTCTTTCTGTTTCTCCAGATAACTGGATATCACTCTTCGGGGGACCTGTAAACCAACAGTCACTTGCGCCACAGAACGATGATGCCATATCCACAAAGTCCCTGAATGAAGGCAATGAAAGCAAAGAAAAACTTTTGAAGAAATCAGGGTCCTCTGCGATGCCAGTCAGGGCTGCCGTTCATCGTGGAACTGCCTTTGTGGCACTTTTATCCTCCTCGAAGGACAAAGATGATGACGTAGTATCTATTAGTGGAAAGAAGAAGGTAAAGCAAGTAGGTCGGTCAGACACTTTGTCTTTGTTAATTCATTGCCTCAACAATTCTTCCAGATGACTTTAGCCGGTCGGTGGATGCTCTATGGCAATATCTTACCAATCGTCATCCGAAAGTTGCAGGCGCGCTCACAGTGGTACAGATTGCACCAGCTCAGTCTCACCAATGGCCTTTCCTCTCTGAGATGTCGACCAAAGAATTATTTGCACTGCCAAGCATTCCTTTGCCTCTGTTGACTTCAGAGCAGCTTGTGCAGTTTGTGCAGATTGTGGACACAGTGCTCTTCAAGTCTTATCTTGTGACTCAGCCAGCCCTCCATCCGAATGTGGCATTTACTATTATCTACCTCCTGATTTTGGTGGTACGTTCATGATTTTGTTGATAGAAATGTGTCTAACTCTCTCATCTTTAGTTCGTGTTGACAGTACAACATTTACGATGGTTTCAGACAATGTTTACTAATATGGCATAATATTTAGAACCAACTTATGGCAGCTCACATTGAATCTGGCTTTGAGGGGCATTTGAGGTTGCGACCCCTCATTCTTCTTCGCTTGCTATGGCCAGTCACTCTCTATTTCTTTGTCTCTGTATGTCTTTTACCCATTTTCTGGCGATCGACTAATGTGTGGCATTTATAGCTAATGTATTCTCTCTTAAGTTTGGTGTTCAGAGTACCATTCAGTAGGAAATGAGTGTCATATCTTTGGTACTAGAATTGCGATCTGACCTTTGGATCTTTTGAAGCTTTGGGCATACAGGCTTTGTCATCTACTGGATGATGTCGTGGTGTAGCATGTCCGCCTTGTGAGTTTTTAACAATGATGGAGCGATCCACATGTTCACCAGTGATTAGGGGTCTTGCTCTCGAATCTATGATCACCCTCCTCACTTTCAAATTCATTCCGATATTCCTTATCCTGTGCATTATATGTTTGTTTTTTGCCCTAATCGCAACACTCTTCACTGACTCGTGCTGGATGATACAGCAAATGTATCTGTAGCCCTTTATCTGATATAAGTGTTGCCTGCTGTCTTTCACTATGGCTTTAGAGATGCTGACGATCGACGTCAAGCCTACAAGGTATGTCTGTCACATTTTAGCATCCTTACTATCTTACCCAACGACTCGGTAGTCCTACAGAAGTATTGCGTGCGCACAAGAAGGTCGTATGCCCTGCGTGCATCCTTGATCCGTCACAGCCCTTCATGTAAAGGTTGCCAAGAAGTATCAAGTTACGCCTGCATTCCGCGACAAAGACGGTGAAGAGAAACGGATGGACATGGATGACAAAGGCACTCAACAAACATCTCCAGCTCTCAGATGCAAATATCCCTATGGAGCTGCCGGTGTCATTCAAACTAGAAAGTCTTCGAGCGTGGATACTAGAAGAGCGGAGAGGAGAGGTGGGGAAGGAGCATATGTGCATGAGAGTCAGCAATCTCCACAGTTAGGCGGACTGCTGAGGTAAATAATGACATTGCGATAGCTATTGTGCGACATGTACGAGATATAATATAACAAGTGTATAAAATAACAAATGCCCAAGTATTGAGGAATAGTATGTAGAGAGGGAACCACAGATCACAACACACAAATAAGCCAACACTTTTTTGCTGCTTTCTGTGCAGCACCTTTAGCAGGCTAGGCTGCCATGAACGCAGACCATAAGCCAGCAGGAGTGCGCCCCACCTCAATGAATGCTGCCCTTGCTGTAGGACCTGCCTGCTGCCAGCAGATACGATGGTCACTGACAGTCTGGGGACGATAGGGAATGCCTCCGAAGACACTAGCAAAAGCCTCTTTGACACTGCGACCAGACTTCCTTGCATTCTCCATGGTAATAAAACCTGCATTGATGTCGACCACATAGTACCATCTTGGCCAGGGTGGTAACACAATGGTGGTTTCAACCTCAATCGGGTGCTTCATACAATGTTCCAGGAGAGAGCATATCATTATCGGACATGACTCAGTCAGAGGAACTGTCAGAGGAAAGGCTGATAGCATCAACAGATGGCTCCCACTTGATGTGAAGGGGCTTTGGGGGTGTTTTATCATCTGTTGAGTCGTTAGAGGAGATGCTTAGCACATTGGATCGCCTGTTCTTGATAGTGGTATGAAGGAGGGGGTAAGGCACTGGAAGTGCATGTGATGCACGCAATGGTCCAGTGATGACTGGCTCCAGATTGTCAGCTCAAGAGGAACTTGTGTGGATGCGGCGTCGACGATGAGAATGATTGGAAGAAAAATGTGGCCTCCGCTTTTGTGACACAGCCGGCTGGTCACTATCAGAGCCAGTGGTGCTCGACTCGCTGACCTGAAGATGGTGGGTAGTATTGTGGACGTGAGCTCTCTCGCCTTTGAGGTTGTTACGAATGTGTGGGATGGTTGGTGGCTGTCGATCAAGGTAATACTTGTCGAAGTCGAAGCGCGACTTTGACATTGAGGTTCTTGAGGTAGACATGATTGCCTGGAAGGGTGAGGACATGACCGACAAATATTTTGTTCCAGCATTGCTGGGTCACATTAAAGTAGTGACAGCCATCATCAATGGAAAGTCCAAGATTGTGAAGCCACTCCGCGGTGACCCTGACATGCGGTAGCACAATTCCACTTTGAAACTCGCAGACAGTAGGTGCATCTTCGTCCTAATCATACAGTAAAATTAAACTCCCGTCGCTTTGGTAAAAAAAAACATACCGCCACCCAGGCAAATGCAGTAACAGTGTTCTGTGCTGTGAGAGCAAGTTCACAGTTCAAGCAACTGCTGTTTCATGCTTCCGCAGGTGCTCTGCCTCTTGCTTGGCATATGCATCTGTAAAGATGGGTGGTAGCTGTGATGGAAGGCAGGGACTGGCATAGAAGTCTGCATTGGGGCAGGTACTGTAGCGCAGCCTTTTCCCTTGCATGTCGTATCCTGGCTTAGCATAGGTAATGTAGATGGACCAGCAGTAGGAGCCTCGGAGGAAGGTAAAAATGTGATGTCAGGTACAAGTAAGGCAGGGTCAATGATGGGCGGTGGAGGTGCAAGTATGGCAGGCTCAATGACAGACAATGTGGGTGTAGCTTCAGCTGGTGGATGCAGGCGTGGTACCTCACCAGCAGGTCCAGGAATATTGTGACCCTTCGCATCACAGCCTCCAGACACCCAGCAGTGCTTCCTGCACATAAGATGGCCGCACTGGGGGTGCACACGTGTCGATGTACACTCAGACTCGGCACAGACACCAGGGACTACTGGAGGAGGAGCGTGCACCACTTGTGACAGAGGCCCCAATGGTGGAGGAGCGAGCGCAATGTGTGATGGAGGCCCTGATGGTGGAGGAGCGAGCATTATTTGTGGGGGAGACCCCAATGATGGTGAGGGGTTCAGAGATGATGTAGGACTCTTGGAGCCCCAGCGAAAGTATTTGCACTTTCCTTCAGGCCCTATGAATGGACACTGGAGAAAAATAAGTGATGGTCACCATGGCCATGTTCACAGAATGGTGTATAGTCTGGCTTCATGAAAGGGACATTTGGGGGTATGTCAGACATGGCAAATAGACAGCGTTAACCTAAGTACTGTGGTAGGCATAGCAAGATGATTAGAAGTTGCATCGTGTAACTGGTTGTACTGTAGCATAGTTTTGTCAGAAAACAGCGACATGAAGAAGTGGATAGGATAACTTACCTGTATAGTGGGGACAGCATACCTGTAATGGCTCAACAAGAGATAAAGGGCGGGGGCGGGGAAAGAGTGACATACAGTTCAAGGCAGCATGCTTGATGTAGCAGGTGGGCTTGTTTATTTGTAGTTGTATGATGGTGGCTGGCATGCTGAGTCATATCCGGGGCGGATGCCAGACAGGGTTGGATGGTCGGATATCCCAGGATCGAAATATTTTGCTGCACTTGGTGATTTGTGTACCAGGTCTCAAGTTTTGGGTTTTGGTACTTGACACTCAGTGAGTTGTGCAATGAGGGAAAAATGGATATGTTGCATACATATTATCAGGTTTCAGGCTTCGGACATCAGGTTTTGAGCCTTGGACATCGGAGCTCAGGCCTCAGCACTCAGCACTTGGTGATTTGTGTACCGGGTGTCGAGTTTTGGGTTTTGGTACTTGACACTACATGATTTGTGCAATGAGGGAAATATGGATATGTTGTATACATATTTTCGGGTTTCGGGCTTCGGATGTTGGGTTTCGGGCATCGGCATTCGGCACTCAGCACTTGGTGATTTGTGTACTGGGTGTCGAGTTTTGGGTTTCGGTACTTGACACTCCATGATTTGTGCAATGAGTGAAATATGGATATGTTGTACACATATTTTCGGGTTTCAGGCTTCGGGTTTCGGGCTTCGGACATCGGGCTTCGGGCCTCGGCACTCGGCACTCGGCACTTGGTGATTTTTGTACCGTGTTTTGAGTTTCGGGTTTTGGCACTCGACACCTGGTGATTTGTGCAGTGAGGGAAATATGGATATGTTGTATACATATTTTCGGGTTTCGGGCTTCGGACATCGGGGTGCGGGCCTCGGCACTTGGCACTTGGTGATTTGTGTACCAGGTGTCAAGTTTTGGGTTGTGGCACTTGACACTCGGTGATTTGTGCAATGAGTGAAATATTGATATGTTGTATACATATTTTTGGGCTTCGGACATTGGGGCGCGGGCCTTGGCACTCGGCACTTGGTGATTTGTGTACCAGGTGTCAAGTTTTGGGTTTCGGTACTTGACACCCGGTGATTTGTGCAGTGAGGGAAATATGGATATGTTGTATACATATTTTCGGATTTCGGGCTGCGGGTTTCAGGCTTCGGACATCGGGGTGCGGGCCTCGGCACTCGGCACTTGGTGGGGTGTTCGGATGTCTGGAATGGATGTTGCACAATGGGATTCGGTTTTTGGCCATCTGGGACTTGGTAATCCGTGAATGTCAGACAGATATCTCACTACCTCGGCCCACCTGTCTATATAACATCCCCCTCCATCGGCCCACCCATCTATATAATGAATATTTCACCACTCCGTCGGCCCATCCATCTACAAAATAATTCCAGTATGTCGGCCCACCCGTCTATATAATAAACCCTTACATTGGCCCACCTGTCTATATAATACATATTCCACCACTCCCTCGGCCCACCCATCTATACAATAAACCATTACATCGGCCCACCCGACATCTTCGAGGATATATATAATATCAGCATAGATGGGCCCACCCGTCTCCATCGGAAATAATATCCCTCCCAGCCCATCCGTCAACATCGGGGATATACATAACATCGGCCCATAGTCCGCTGGCCCGTCTTATACGGGATATTATGTAGGTCGGGTGACCCATATAATATGGAAATATGTCACTGTAATATGTGGCTAGCACACACTAGTATGCCATAAAGACTCACCAGTCTTATGATTGACTGGAAGACACTAAAGTATTCCAATCAAATGTTCAAAAGGAAGCACCACCAAGAGTGGGCAGGGCCAAATAGAAGTAGATAGTTATATATGTGGAAGGCAGCGTGGTGATTTGGATGCAGAGCAAATGTGGGATGTATCTTCTTTAGATTTCCAACATAATGTGCAATGTGGGAGCAATACACATGTGCTCTCTATTCAGTCATTATCTGGGCACACATGAGATACACCATGCAAACAAGTTCCATGATATAGTCAAGAACAGCTTTAAGATGAGCACCGACTTTATCAGAAGGGGTGCAAGGTGTCAGCCCCCCAAGCTCACAAGAGCGATAGCAATGTATACAGTAATTAGAGAGCGCCACTTGTCTGCTTTCATCATCCCAGAAGATGCACTTCCAAAGTCAATTGGAGAAGTAAACCAAGATGGAATGGTTATCTCCTGGATGACATCTCAAACATGATGGAGGACATCTGGAGAACCAAGCTGAAGCTCCTTTGCTAGAGCAGCAAAGAGTTTTCCATGGCACTGAGGACAAGTATAAGTAACTTGCAACAAAGGGGACATAAAAGAAAGGACTCGCCCATTCCATGAGAGCTTTGACATAGTTGATTTTCAATAATCTACTGGATTTATTGGGGATACATCGCAAGACCTTGCAAACAAACTTGAGAGGTCCTGTGTTCCTGTGAAATAGAGAATTTTTCAACTTATCCAGGTTTTCATCATCGCAAGATAACTGGGCAATGAGAAGAGTGTGTATAGTAGTGACCTGAGTCATTTCCTTCAAAGTCATTGATAGAGGTATATTGCCTAAGTCAAACAAAAAGGCTGGAGGAGATGAAGTCGATGAAGTGGTCACCGTAGTCAAACCAAGAAGATTATGGGAGTGATGCTGGACTAAACCCTTTGATATACAATGCATCAGATTGACAACAAGCTGGTGTGAGGGATCTTAGTATGGCAAACACCACATCTCTGAATAGCGTACATCATGAGCTTTGAATAGTTTCTCTTCTTCAGAGGTCATTGCAGCATCCCTCCACCACTCAGCAAAGTCCCAGAGTTCATCTTTATCACAAGATTTCCAGCTTTCAAAGTATACTCTACTGTATATGGTTTTGTGGTGGCAATTGCATGTGCTACAATAGAAATGGCTGCTGGTTCCAGCTAAAGAAGTGAAATGACGAGCAGCAGGAAGATCACAAATGGCCAGAACAATAGTGCTGTGAGTGAGCCAGCTGGTAGGAAAACTAGCAGTCTTAGAAAATGTTATGCCACACTTCCACGAGTCTACCATATCATTAATAAGTGGCCAGATGTAGTGATTGAGATGCTCGAGGGATGGCTGTTTTGGACCTGGGATGATTCCTACAAGATACATGTTTTCAGGCTTGTACCTGATATCCAATGATAGATTTAGGCATGCCATAGAGATGATTACAGAGGATTTGCTAGCACTATGCAAATTCATACCCTCCAGATTGAAAAAGTCTATATGAAGGGCAAAGGCATAGCATCCTTCATCTCCTCTATCAATAAAAAGTAAACCTGGATCTGGGCCACTAAATTGATGCAGAAATTGGGCCTCGAATGTGTGTTTCATCAAAGGTGGATGGGTAGAATTGATTGAGTCCTGCAAATTGTCACAGGCTTGATCCATTGCCCTCTTGATATCTGCATGAGAAAGAAGACTAGCAAGGTAGTTATTGAAATTGTGGTACACATATATCTTCTTTGGTCACCCAGCTCCATCAAACAATGACTTGCCACATTCGGCCTCTAATGTGGGGCGGTGGGTACAGTGTTTAGGATATATAGGAACAGTTGAGCCATCTGTGTAATGGGGGCTGTAAGTGTAGTGACAACTAAAGCAGACTGCATATACAACAATTTTCCTGGTGAAATGAAATCTTGTGAGTGCAGTGTCGAAAGTCATTAAAATTTGCCTGAGCACATTTTGATGGGAGGCACTGAGGCTACCATTGAATCTCCGGAACATGAGAAATAACATGACTGAAACAAGTCTCAAGATGAAATTGCAGCCTCTTCTACTGACCCCCAATGATAACTTTACACACCACAGTAATGAATAAGACTATCTGTGCAATTTCATCATACTGATGCAGCAGATATTCATGATGAATATGATCTAGTGACTATTTAGAATACAATCATGATAAAAATAATCAACTCTTACTGGCATCAAATTTGACTGCAGCATGCAAGGCCTTTTCAGGAGGCTTGTGGGTGTGAAACTGTGCTTCTAAGTAATCTATCTCCAAAATAATTGCCTTCTTCTGTGTGATTACAAGGTCTGCATTTCAATTGATGTTCTCCACAGCTTTGTGTATATCCAGTAATTGCTGCCACCTGCTCATGGCACATCATGAGTCATCACTACTGCGGCTTCAACTGTGCCTGGATGGCCATCTTAATGGATGATCCCCATCATCCTATACCCACTGAATGGCTTCTTGAGTCGTCACACTTATTCATTGGAGATCTGACAACAAACATGCCACATACAGAAGCCATCATTTCTTCCATTCACTGCCCTTGGCAAGTTCAATTGCCCATATTTGAGAAATTCTCAATCCCTATTTGGGTCCACTTTCTCCAGAATGCTTCTGCCGCTGTCGATTCCAGTCTGCATCATTATATTCCATCTGCAGCAGCTATCACTTGTGCAACTGAGTCACACAGTGGGACCAAAAACATGACAACTCTTGGAGTCAACCAGATGACAGTATGTGGGGTCAGCCAAAGGAGAGTCAGAACACCCCCAAATGGGACGATACCCTTGGATAAAATCACAACAGTGGGACACAGCCCATATCTAATATTCCTGATGCAGACTCTCTGTTCCTAACCCCCAAACTCCACTCTGGACAGAAGTGAGGAGAAGATTGGAAGGTATTTTTTGCGTGGTGCCATGAGGAGAACCAGAGGAAGGAGGAGACAGAGATGCCAGCACAGCAGCAGTTGTGTCAGAGCTGTGAGTGGGCAGCCATGAATTATAGCATTTCTGGCAAGTCCAGCATGGCTGTCATATTCAAATGGCAACCTAATGATGAGTTTGGTGGATTTTGTCAATGCATCTGTCTCACAAAGGCTGAGATAACCAACAACTTGGATGTTATATAGCACATCTACCAGGATATATGACTCGTTCCATAACCAGTAAACTTATGTGATACATTGGACCCTTCCAGCATTCCCAATGGCAATTGGGAAGAGGATCATTTCCCCCCTGCCCCTACTCCTCCTGAACCTACCCTTGCTCCCCCTCCCCCTCCACCCCCTCTGTCCAGCTTCTTGAAAGACATTGAAACCTATTTTGGTCATTATGAGATTGCACTCTCAGTGCAGTATACTTGTAGTGTCAAGTAATTTGTTTCTATATTGCATTTTCATCTTGGTTATCGCCTTGCGGCATCCACCTCTACACCGAGAGGCAGATCAATCACATTCAATGATTGGACTTGCAAGACACAGTTGGCTTACTTATGCAAACTCATGGGCAACAACCCTGCAAACATCACATCAATTCCAGACACACAGAAGCATGTTATCACCTGTTTCATAGGTTACCTCATCACCCTCCCTCAATCTCAATTGTCAGACATCCTACCCAATCTCTGGAATATAGGGCTTGACTCATCTCTGTCAGTCTCGAATGCACACATTCGAGTGTCCTATGTACAACAACACAAGCAACAGTTCTACATCATCAAGCCTCTGTCATCAATTCTGGTGCCCTGGAAACTGGTGGTTCCTGATGCTATCACAGCTATGATGTGCCTCCAGCATGACTGGAGTTTGGATATCACCAAGATCACGCATAACCTCCTTGAAAAAGGAATCACTATAAAGACATTGCAGGTAATCTCAGTTCCGCCTCATGCTTGGCGCCCACTTATGGAACTCCATATATACTCACTCGGACATGTCTTCTCCCCCAAGGATCGCAGGCTTCCTCAATTCAGGCCTGTTTATGGTGTATGAACAATATCATCATGAGTTCATGAACCAGCCTCACACAAGAGCAGCACTTCTTCACGGTGGGCTCATATGGCGGCTGGCTTTGTATAGTCTCGGTTTTGACAACCTCCCCTCCATTCTCGATGAAATTTCACAGGAAGCAGTGCTGTTTGGCCTCATGCTGGACATCAATGGCCAAACTTATTTTGATGATGAGCTGTCAGAAGAGGAGGTGTATTTTATGTGTGGGACATATCATGTGCATACCAGTAATTTTGTCTTGCTTGCATTGACCTGCACCAAACTGGTCCAGTGCATGACCATGCGGTGTTAGTGAATATTTTTCGGGAATTTTGCATGGAACAAATTTTGTGTTATTTGGCCCGAAGATGACTCAGCTATATTCTCATGCATCTGAAGCTTCCATGGAAAATATTTCCCGCATATGTTTGTTTGTGGGAACTTCCAGGAAATTTTAAATACACGTGTTACCCAGTTTTGCTTTATGACATATGCTATGTCTCTAAATAACACCAAATACAAACAAGTTTCAACACATTATGTAAACCATGTTCTCTTACCACAGTCAGCTGATCTATGACTAAGCCTGACAAATCATGTTCACCTACATATGATTCACACAGGTATTATGATCTATGACAAATAATGCAGTATATCTAGATACGTGAGAAAACAAAAATTGAATATACCTAGGTATGCAGGAGTAAATTAGCATAGCCATGTAGATTTGTCTATATAAGGACCTCCATTTTGGCCTGAAATGCAATCAATCTGACTCCCAGAGTCACCCTTAATAAAATTGCAAGTGAGGTTTGTGTGTGATCAGCATCAGCAACAACCATGAAGAGTTGTTCGACATTGTCAGGTACATTGATGAGACAGTAGGAGCCATTGAGCTCACTGTGCTCAACAACCTGCAAGGCCTGGTTATTTATTTTGAGAAGTCTCTTGTTTTTCTGAGTGTTTGTGTTTGTGTGCACGTGTCTCTGTTTCTATCTCTCTATTTCTGTTTCTCTAGGATTGGGATCTATTTCCTTATCTCTGTTTCACTAGTCTGGGTTCTGTTTCACTCTATCTATTTCTTTAGCTCAGGATCTGTTTCACTCTATCTGTTTCACTCTCTCTACCCATTGAAGGTTAACAGTCTGAGTGCTCATTTATTTTAAGTTAAGGAATACAACTATGGTACATGGGGTTTATATAGGTAAAAAGGGAGCGGCGCAGCCGTGACAAGAATGGTAACAAAGATAGGAAAAAGAGTACAACCTATCAAGATAGCAAAGATAGGTGAAACTGCCATGCGGCGCAAGATAATATCTATGTTACAATCAAGAAGAAAAGAAGTGCGGACAGCCCGCTTGATAAGAGAATAGCTGGGTCTAGATGAGTCTAGAGTCGGCGGCATGGTTACAAAGGAAAAATGAAATAGGAGTAAATGTTATTGTAACATTAGTGGGGAGATTTCAGGAGTTGAATATTGTCTGCTTGACCTCACACATCTGAGTAGTATACCGAGCCAGGATTGTTAATTGTCAGATAGGCTTTAGCTATTGAATAGAGGACTTGGTATTGAAATCCAAGGACATCTGTTTCTGATTCTGTTTAATACTCATTGTGAGTTCCTTGGCAGCAGATTCAATATTAGGCTAAGAGTTCTACAGAAGCTTTTGACAAGTCTTGACCTTTGATCCTACCTGTTTGCGCTGTGGGAGTGACCAATACAGCTTCGCACGATTGTTTCATAGTAAGTTTACAATATAGCACTATTGATTGTGTCTAGTCTTAGTTCTTATTTCTGTTTAGCACCAGTGATTGTGCTTAGTCTTGGTTCTTTTTTTTCTGTTTCTTTGTTTCTTTTAGTCAACACCATATCACTGGGTTGACTAGTGTTTCTAGACTGATATCGTAGAGTACCTTTGTCTGACCATAGCTTGGATATACTGACAGGCCACCCACGAACGACCACATTATCAGTCATTGGTATTTGTCTGAATTGCTGACCATGGAGATATTTGATTTTGTAGGTGTTCATCTATAGATCATCTATCTAAGAAGACAGCATTTGACAGTGGTCCTTATATTTGAATATTTAGATGATGGGAATGCAGAAATTGTCTCTTGGTGGCCTAGACTCCAGACCTGGGCTGCCTCAGGACTTAATGTGGGGTTCTGGTCCAGTTGATGTGAATCTTGGTTCTAGTCATGCCTGGACAACATTTGGCAGGGAATTTCATGAGAGTGACATAGATTCACTAATGATGCTAACGGTCCAATGACCAGTACACAGTGGAAAGGCTCACTGAAGTTCAATCTGAGCACCAGTAAAATGATAAAAAAATGTCAATGCAGCATGTTGCAATTTTCTTGCCACCAAAGCAAGTGGTAAGAATCAATTGGTTGTTGCTTGTGCATCTCAGATTCTAATCTTGTGCTTAGCTTTTACAGAGAACTAGCACTAGAGATTGTAATTATATAAATGTTTATGAACAATTTCCCTTTGCTGTCCCTAATACTTCACACTACACACTACTGTATAGGATTGATATTTAGCTAGATTCATGTATGTACATAACTTGTTAAGTCCCCAAAAATCTCACATCTTAGAGATTGTTGTGAGTAGGCAGTGATGCTGTGAGTGGGCAATTACTATCAGGTGATCTATTTTATCTGGAGACAAAACTTAATGATTTATCTTCACATTTAATTGTCAGGAGTGATTTTAAATTTAATGCTTGTCTAAGTGGTGATCTAAACTTATGTCGAGAAATTTACGGTGGCGCTCAGCCAGAAGTCTCACATGGGCGCACATGCTCTTGATCTTTTCCTTTTTCGAGCCAGATCACTGCGTGACGGCAGTTGTGACCTGTCATTGCGCCAAACGGACGCAGATGGGTACAAAAAGGCAGAGGGCATGATGCCCGCTGACGCAGAGGTTCAGGCCTGCTCTCTCTTTCACTCACTTGCTTTTGTCGTTAGTGTTTGACCTTGTGGACCTTAAAGGACGAGACAGATGAAGACGAGAGGACGACAAAACATTCGAAAACCAATGAAGGCACATGGGAAAAGACAGACTCGGAGGGAAGAAGCACGAAAAAGTCGAGACTAACTATTAGCGCTGGAGTGGGAGAGAGCAACAGTGAAGAAGTACTAGGGTAGAGAGTAGGTGCAGGAATGGAATGTACAGTACCAACAGTCCTGGCCATGTGGCCCTTGCAATATGAAGTGATTCATATGGTTATGCTATGCTATGAGTGTTCGAGTGGGTGGTGTATGGTGGTATGGTCCGCGAAGATGAGTCTGTCATTTGTTGTGACGCACACGCTCTCCTCGTACAGCCCGTGCCTTGTTGATGGCTGCAAGCAGTGGGGTGTGTCCCCGCTCGGCTTCTGGATAGGCTGCAAGGAAGAGGGCCTCATCTGACTGGTAACTGAGGTGACAAAAAAAATGTGTGAGCACTGTTGTGTGGATCGCAGCCGGGAAGCACTCACTGGTTGATGAACTCATGCGCAACAATGGCCCTGTTCTGGTACTGCATTGCGAGCTTCCAGTTCAGGCCTTGGTACCACTCCTGCGGCCAGTCTTTGAGTGGTGTCTTCAACCCTCTGTTGGGGTCGCCAACGAGCCAGTGCGTGATGATGTCCTTCCAGGACTCGGCCTTTGGAGTCTTCAACCCATTCAAATGGACGAGTGGCAGCCGTGGAATGACGAGACCGTTGCTTGGGAGTTGTTGAGTCGAGGCTGTGTGGCCTGGGCCTGTGTGTGTAGCCTTCACTGGTATGGACGGAGCAGCGGATGGTAGTGGTCAAGTGGTTGGTGTGACATGTGTGTGGGCATGGTTGCTGTGGACAGACGACAGAGGATGGGAGTGTGCTGCTGGTGGACAGACATGCCAAGGAGACACTGCACCAGTGGATGCAAACTTGGAGAGAAGGTTGAAGCGGGGGTATTCTTTGAGTTTGAGCTGTGTTGCCATGGTCAGGTGAGGTAGGTGTCCAGCAGCCTTCAGGCAACTCGAAGTGGCCTGAACCATGCTGGTGAGTGACCGAAGTGAGTTGTTGACTGCACTGATGTCAACTCGCAAACAATTGACATCTGCAGTCACAGAATGATGAACCATGCACAGCTCCTCAGTGGATGCTGGCCTCATGAGTGCCTGCTCGCCTGCAAGGGAGGATTCAGCTTTGCAGGAGAAAGGAGCGAGGGCATCACTGTAGTCAGTCTCATAGGTGTGTAGTTCGTCGAAGAAGGTAACAAATGAGCATGTTTCGCTGGGAATGGAATGAATGAGTGAGAGCGAGAAAAAGTAGACCATCGAAGGCACCTACCTGTTTACCATCAGCCCATCCTCCCCACCATCAAACCATGGCAAGTGACCACTGCTGACCAACTGGTGCGAACATGAACCAATACTGGGCACCTCCATGGCGGAAGCAGTGAGTTGAAAAACAGCCTAGGATGCCAGCACCTGTTGTTGCCTCATCAATCCACTTTGCACAGTGTCGTGAGAGAGAGGCTGTCCAGGCTGCATGATGCCATTGGCACCCATCGAAGGGAAGATGAAGTTGTTTGGCCTGAGTGTGCGTCCATAATGAAAAAACTCAAGCCATTTGATCCAGAGCAACATCCAGATGAAGCTGTCACAGGAAGGCATGTCAGGGTGGGGAAATATCTTGTAGTGGTTGGCTGGTTATGAGGCACATACACTGCTACGTCAGTAGGGCGTCACTTCATGCTAATCTGGATCAACTTATACCTAAGGTCTGCCTTGCAGATACCCTTATCGACCTTTTTCTGCCATCCTTTTTGGTTTGAAAGGAATATTTCGAAATAGGTGTTGCTGTCGCTGAGTGTCAGTGGCTCATGTACAAGATACTTTTTACAACAGTATCCAGCAGGATTGTGTCGAGCGATATGTCTTTGCACTGCAATTTGATGAGTTCGAAGCACCTACCAAAATGGCAAGTAAGTGAGTGCACATCAATTTGGGCAGGGAGGACAATACCCGCTCCATAAGGTCCATGCACCAGCATTGAAAGTGACTTGTTCAAGATGGCAGGTGAGCTGTGTCCTTGTGTCGAGAGTCAGTTGGACCTGTGAAGGCAGTGTGCCACTCATCACTAGCTGGATGGCCTGCAGTGCAATCTCCAGCGGGCATGTGGCCTCATGCCATCAGAGCATGTGATCCATGAAGTCTTTTGTCATTGCCATTGAGTGAGTTCGGTCTCCGCCCTCTGCACTGGTCTTATGCTTTACAGATGCCATCACATTATAAACCTCTGCCGAGTCAGCTGGATTTCCCTCCCAGCGCTGTCTTGCCTCATTAAAACTCCACTTTCCATGAAAAGTGCTGCTGTCCCTGGAACACAAGTCAGGTGAGTTCATACCAGTCCTGCAGGCTCAGGCTGTTGCTCACGCTTGCTCCCAGAGCTTCTTGAATGCTGCACAGATACTTTCAACCGTGTTCTTGCTGAGGTTTTCATGGAACCCTTTCTGGGACATGAAGAGTGCCAGTGCTTTGTCGGAGCACCTATTTGGCATGTACCCAAATGCATCTTTGAAGGCAGGATCTGCATACACATCAGTGTCTGGATTGTCTCAGATGAAAGTGGGCACTGAGCAGTCCCCCTCATCAGCAGAGCAGCTTGGTGCATCAAAATGGCTTGCAAGCCACTTGCGTCCCCAGTGTACATGGCCAGCATAGCTGCTCCTCATCTTGTTTGCCTGGAGGTGCATTTCAATTCCAAGTTTCTTGCATTTCTGTATGTCAGACAAAGCTGACTTCGGGGTAGCCAGTTCTTTCCTCCACCTTGGCTTCCTTTGAATGACATCTGATGCCCCCTTGTTGGATTGTGCCATGCGGGAGGTAAAACACAGAACAGAGTAATTGGTGGGACAGTTCTGAAATTTCAGAGGGTATGATGTCACTCCGTGTTTTAAAATTCACTTGGCTCTCAATTTTTATTGACCCACACTGTCGTAACACATAGACTATGCTAGTGAAGCATCACATTGAATTTCAACTACATACTGAGCACAAGAGTGGGTACTGTATATATACCGCATTAGTACAAATGTCCTCTGCTCATGAGCCTGGAAGTAGACAATAAATGCCCTTGAAGATTTGAATCTTTTTGAGGCCTGGCCAGTGGACGAGTGTGACAGAGACGCCCTTGAAGAAGTTCTTCAACTGCCTAAACTGTGGCGAATCTGGGCGGAGGTTCAGTGCACAGTTGTTCTGCTTGAAAGCCTACCTTGACCATCGAGTTCTCGAGCTCAATGTTTCCACCATTAGCAACCAATCCTCAAATCTTTTTGAGGCCTATCCAGTGGATGAGCATGACAGAGATGCCCTTGAAGAAGTTCTTTGACTGCCTGAACTGCAGCGAATCTGGGCGGAGGTCCAGTATGACAGAGACTCCCTTGAAGAAGTTCTTCAACTGCCTGAACTGCAGTAAATCTGGGTGGAGGTCCAGTGCGCAAAAGTTGCTCTGCGACCTTCCCACTCTCAACCTGGGCCGTGTAGGTCATGGTACTGTCTGGTGCACTCCTGCCCACAGGAGCATTGTCGTCAATATTAGTAGCAGGCATGAGAGGCAGCTCATTCCTCTTTGCAGGAACTGTAGGTGTTGCAATAGTAGTCAGTGGAACTGAGGAAGACGAGGGTGTCATCGTGTATGTGAGGGTTACGAAGTTGTGTTGCACAGTGAACTGAAGTTGTAATGTATGTTGTTGAGTGTGATGCGCAGGTAAAATTTTATCAAAGATTGCAATCATACAGTATCCATCTCGCGATGAGAGTATAAGGCACTGTCCGTCAGGAGACCTATTGAATGATTCAACATAGATACCAGCAGCCAGAAATAGCTGTCACATACCACAATGCATCCGTAAATTCATTGTAGTGCAACTTCGTGAGCATGCAAACAGGTCCAGATTGTTGGGTATCATAGATGGCAATGGCATCCATAGTCAGAACTGCATAAAGCATGCGATAAGGCAGCGCAAACATGGAGCCAGTATTGGGTGGAGCGATCACCAGGGTAGAGGATTTTGATGGAACACAGGGAAGAACTTGACAGCTACTGCTAGCTTTCTTATGTCCTGGTAACTGAGCTATAGGAGGACAAGTAAAGTTCGCCCTTGAGCAAATGAACACTGACAATGCTGATGAAGGGTTGGTTTCGCTTGTGGTAATCACAAGTTTAGATTTACATCCGTGAGTAGGAGTTTCCTCAATCTTGGGCTTGTTGGTGATAATGCTGGGGTCCTCAAATTGCCCTGCAGGCATCAGCAAGAGGCTCCCATCTGGACTGAACATTAAGCGGTGGAAGAAGTTCAAAAAACTTTCATCTCCATAGTTGACCATGCAGGCGAAGGAAGTGCCTGGATTGCAGGAAGGGGTGGCATAGGAGACAGGGATTCAAATGTGTCCTGCTTGGTCAAGATCTGATACACGTGCATCGAACGGTCACTGCTCTGTGTGGCGATGTATTTGTTGAGCGGGTCCCATGCTACGCCTTGGACATAGTGGTTGTGCTCAGCAATCTCGCAGAGGCATTTTCCTAAGTCAATGAGCCTGTATTCCTCACAAAAATGCCGCAAAAATGCACCATCACTGGAAGAGAACACCCCTTTGTATGCACGTGATCTAAGAGAAGATGATGAGAGTGGAAAGTAATGTTCGCCGTCTTGAATATTACTTTCAAGGAGGCAGAATGATATATGAACTGTTGAAAACTTAAATAAACAAATCAGTGAGAGGTTGTTTAGTATTAATTCATTTTGCATGTGGGAGGGTCTGGCTTTGCTGGACCGGTGTGTGAAGGCAGAGGTCTGGGCGAAGCACGTGGATCCCACGAAGTCTGAAATAAAGCAGCTTGTGCTTGGAGAGTATTTGGGATTGACGGAGACAAACCCTCAGGAGCGTGTCAAGTCCGAAAAGTGCGTAGACCGGAGGGTCCAAAAGGAAACACTGATACAGACCAAAAACATGCTAGAAGTGGTAGAAAGGGAGGTGGGTGGGTGCGAAAAAATGAGAGAGCGATGGGCAAAGAAGATGGGCGCAGAGAAGAAGAGAGTGCGGCACCAATTCTCAGGTCAGGTCCTTTTGACTGGGGTGAACTCAGACATGTGCTTCAGTAGGATAGAAGCACACCGGCGCAGGTGAATCTTCATGTGACCGCTTACAAAGGCCATATTTCGAGCGTCGACGCTCACAAGCTCGCGATTCGCTCGAAACGGCCACTTGCGCAGTCATCCGTATAGTATGGACCTGTGGAGAAGGGGCTGGGCCCCAAGTCAGATTCAAAAAGTGAAGGGACTTGGAGTATGAGTATGAGTATGAGTATGAGTAACGAGTAAACAAAGACTTACATGAAAGATGATGGCGATCATCCAAGGCAATATCATCATCATATGAATAATGATGGATAGTAGTGTTTCTAGATGAGAATGTCAGTCAAAGGTATGCTAAAAAGTTTGATTATACCTTCTGATCACACAACATTGCAGTGTTACAGTAACACACCATGCAGGGGGCCAATGTCAACGACCGTCAAGGAAGATGACAGAGAAGAGACATTGTGTGTCATGTGACCATATTGTCTAAGTCACCATTTATGGCAACTGAGTAGGATGGGTGGAAGGACAGGCAAGGTAGAGTAAAGTAAAGTGCAGTTAAGTGCGGGACAGTGAAAAATTTACGGTAAAGTTCGTAAAGTTTGTAAATTTCCCAGCAGGTGCGTGCGCCTGCCAGGGATATCCCTCAACATCTACTAATAATAATTGTAAATTTCACTCACCTTCTCGTTGATTCACAATGGACCTGCTAAGACAGCAGGCCTGCAGAACAAAGGTGCGACTCTGATGCATTTTTCTTATTCTTGAACCCTCATTTGAACCTTTGATTTCACACTTGCATTCACTCTGAATTTCTGACTTTGTACTACTAAATGATGGTATGTGGAATCATGTATAACAGTCTTCTACCACTCTACTAATACAATCCATGCTTCTGCCGTCTTCTAAGCCCAGTCGTCCGTTGTCACAGCTGTATCTAGTGTCGTGGGGGCCGCGCATGATATTCTGAGGTTGCTCGGCATGGTGTGACCGTGACGTACCCTTTATGGGTAGCAGAGGAATCTTGCGAGGAATCTGCTTTACAGTGTTTACATTAGGTAATCGTAAAATATTGCAGATAAACAGACTTCATACATAAGCAGTCATTCAGTCATGTGCCATAGTTGAAGTTTTTTCGAGTCTTAAAAGTTTCTAATTGTCCTCACTCAAGTCTCGTGAGACGCAGACTTATGAGGATTAGCCAGCAATTGTCCCCTCATGGATTCGAGACACCGAACTCGAAATGTATGCAATTTGAGGACCCCGTTGTAACGATGGTCGTGGCACTGGGCTCAGAACCAGGCAATCCAACACCTATGTTCATACCATTCCCCAACCTCCTTTGACCTTCTGAAAGCCACGTGCACTTGTCCAAACCTTCCGCAGGCAGTTCTCGTGTTCCGAGGCCCATCCGAACCTTGCGAGTTACCATACCATGTCCTATCCTTGTCCTTTTGACTTCGCTGGTGCGTTTTCCTTTATTCTAACTATATGTTAACTACGTCTTAGTGCTACACGGATAACAATCCCATCGGCATCCTGTCGGGAGTCTCGGAATACGTATAAGCAGTACACATCGCAGCTTATTACATGTATACTTGCATTCTTGCATGCCTTGCGGCTTATTACATAGGTTCGGACTTGCTTATCTCGCTACTAGTTTTGCCTATGGATTCCGGCCTCTCACGGAAGTAGGATATAATCTTGCTCGCTGGCTACTGATAGGACACTTCACTTCCCATACTTCGAATAGTAATTAGTAGAGTCACCTCGGTATAATCATAAACTGCGCAATTGATCCTTGTTCATTCAGAATGATTGACTGGCTAGACCGCTGCCAATTTCACACTTTGTTTATTCTTGAGTCCCGATAGATTAGCATTGTTCCGGACTTTGGACGTTGCGCAAAGTCTTATACTGTTATTCGACACACCGACATACCAACACATCAACACACCAACATATATAGACCTTCAGACAGCCTTTGTAAGCCTCGGAAGGCATCGCGCTACTTTGGACAACACTTTCGCAGCCTCGGACGACCTTCGGTCGCATCAGGACAAGTTTCTCGGTACTTCGGAAGTAGTCTCGGAACTACGGACAAGCATTAAAGAGGTTTTCTTCCAATATCTTGTCTACTCTCTAACTGTATAAGACTTCCCTTGCATCATCAAGGTAGTTCTTAGGTTGTCTCTTGGGACGAAGCATACTCACATCTCTCAGGACTAGGGACTCACATTCAGTAGAGCCCAGCCCAGATCTACTCTTTACACCGTTGTGAGGACAAGGGGTCCTCATGGATTCGAGACACCAAACTCAAAATGTACATAAAGTACAACACTTTAAAGTACAATAGAACGAAAAGGGTGGGAATAGGGAGGGTGCGCAAAAGTACTGCTATAGATACGAGTAATTCGAGTGAGAATTGGACAACAGATTGAACAATTAGAATACGGCGTACCTAGTGAGACAAGTAATTCAAGTGAGAAGAGGCAGAGAGTCTCCTTTTGAACCTGGTCTCACTAGACATAGGCCGCTAACTCCACTAAAGGAGGTGGCAATGAGGATTGCGCAAGTCATATTAGTCATGACTTGAAGTGCATGGGGCAGTAGCCTGAGGAGGCAAAAGGGGCAGGCCCTAGACCAAGGATCGGGAATTTTTTTCGGTTTTAACCAAAAAACGAGTCTGCTGAGGAGCATGCTCGTCCGATTACCCTGGTATAAATGAAGTTAAACTCGACATTTCGAAGTTTATGCCAGCATTAAAAAACAATTATATTTCTTATTGTCATTAACATTTAGATACTATCACTTCCACTGCAATCGGCACCCCACAGAAGTCGGCAGTCACGCAAATGTCACCGTAAGTCATGACATGTCACACATGCCGGTTTCAAAGCCAGCTCGGCGGTCAGGTAAGAGCGCAAGGTCTGGCGTGAGCGAGCAGGTATGGTATTTACTAAGTAGATATATCTAATTACGAGGGTAACCAGCATTAGGACTATAGTAGAATTGAGTGAGATGTGTAGGAAGGCCATGTACATTGTATGGATGAGGTTGTCTTTCTAAGTTCGACGATGATGCAATGGGACCGCGAGATGAATAATTATGCTGCGTTGTAGGGTAAGGTGGCGTGTGGAGAGCTGGATTAGCGTAGAATTGATGAAAATGTGGCTGGTTGGTAAGGTGCGGAGGATAAGTCGAATTGAAAGAATGCGCGGGAGCAGTGAAAATTTGATTGCTGGAAGTACATGGTGTTGGACAAGGTAGCGCTATTGTCCCGCGAAGTGCTACTACTGGCTTGTCCTGTTGATGACGCAGTGACCGAATTCTTCGAACGTGTTTTTCCCATCTGGAAGAGCGCAGAAAAACGTGGATTGTCAGCTAAGTGCCGATTTGCAGTGTCCGCGAGAAACTCTTTGATTCTAGCCCTGAGTTCCTCGACCGTCCCATCTCTCGAAATCTTGAGAGCGCCAGCAAGTGTGATAAAATCATCCTTGCGCCGGAGTGTTGAGAGTGCATCGAATGTCTTCGACTTGATATCATTTTCAATCTGGGCATGACGCACTTCATCTTCCGACTTCTTCCTAGCCTGTTTCTCTGCGTCAGCCTTGTCTTTTTCACACTGCACTTCCTCTGCCTTGTTGAAGTCCTCCTCAAGCTCCGGGTGTGTCACGAAACGGGCCCGCAACTTGACAGATTTCTTTGGCTGCTTTTTCTTCTTCACATTCTCCAACTCCAGTCGAGATTGAGCCAATGCCCGCTGCGCCATTGTACAGTGCACGTTTGTAGCATCGAGCTGGGTAGTCAGGACCTGGGTTGTCTGAATTAATGCCCCATTCTGCTCATACATGCGCTGGAGCTCGTGCCAAAGTTCCTCCTTTGTCAATGTCATTGCCTGAACATACGAGGGGATGACGAGATGTGGGACGGGGACTGATAATTGCAATGTCGAGCGCGGCGTGATCTAACTCTGAGTCGTCGCTTTCAGATTCTTCGTCCGAGTCATCACTTCCAGAGTCCAAGTCTTCATCAACGGCCATAGGAGAAAAATCATTGTCGTCCTCCGAATCCTCTTCTCCGCCACCATCCAGTCTAATCGACTCGTCAATTTCGACAACATCAGAAGGAGCCGCCATTGGAGGAGAGACTTCGGCAGGATATGATGGAGGAAGATGTGCAGCAGTTGAATAAACTAAGCTCGGTGCGAAATCCTCGTCTGTGAAGACTGACGGATCAAGAGGATAGATACCAGTTTTTTTAAATGCTTTTTGGATGAGTTGCGGAGTGATGACATGGTGAATGGCCATGTATTCGTGAATAAAATTATAGCGATCAATTTCAACCCCGTCGGCAAGGCGCTTGTCACAATGTTTGGTCCAAGCACGCTGGACGGAAGAAAACACACCCACGTCCAGTGGTTGAATTTTGTGTGTGGTTTTCGATGGAAAGGCATGAATTATGACACCATTATCGTAAGCCGCCCTTTTGATAGCACTTTGTTCATGTGAACTATGACCATCAACAGTCAGAACAATTGGCTTCTCAGGATCAACACGGTATTTCTCCGCTGTAGGAACAAAGTGGTTCCTGAACCAATAATCTGCGATCTCATGATCTGTCCATCCCGTCGGAGAGAATGAAACACTGTCGAGAGTGACAGTGTTAGTAGAGCATAATGCTACACTTATCTAGCTTAGTACTCACCCGCCCACTTTATCTTTTAGATCCCGAATATCTGGGGCTGGCCCTTCTGAAAGGACAAACCATGGTGGCATCTTAGCACCAGCAGCAGAGATGCACTCGATAATGGTTACGAGCTCTAGATTATCGCTATGGACCCGATAACGATCTGAATCTTGTGTGGAAAAAATGAATTTCGTGCCAGCATTTTTCCTTCCCCCACCCATCTGATTGCCTTTCTCATCCATATTCCAATGATGCTCTGGCGGAATTTTATTATAGTCATCATCAAGCTTTTTCCGCATCTCAAAAAACTCCCTGATGGTATCCTTGTTGAAATTTCGAGCACGTTTGGGATCCAGTCCACTTGCTCGAGATATGCGGAGGGATGAGTGTCGACGAATAAAGCTATAGTGCCATTTTCGTGACGGGAGTCGACCAGTTATTTCCTTAACAGATGCACGCAATCTCGCTGGGTGGATAGGAGTCGCGGATGTGGATGCCAGGTTGCACCAGTCGACAATAGTTTCCTCCTGTGCAGCAGATAATAATTGCTGGCTCTCGTGGGCATGCCGACGAGACTTATGCACTCCCAAGTGTCGATCACTTAGTGTCTGACGTGATACCTAGACCACAGTTGAGTGAATAATCACATGAATAATCACGACTCACATTCTGTTCCTTTGCTGCAGCTGCAATGGATTTGTACAGGCCATTTGCAACTCCCTGAATTGCAGCCTGAATACGTGACTCGTAAGTTGGATCAGACGAAGCTCGCAGCTTCCCTCGTCTACCGCTGCTGGACTTGCGAATGCGGACCAGCCCCATGACCAGCAGCGCTGCACCCAACAGAAGTCGGCACTCCCAAAACGGGCGTGTGCACTGTGCAATATTGAAGCTCCGTCACGGCACAACATCGGCAGGTGACATTTTTGCGTGACTTTGGCACTTTTAACTATCTCACTCAATTCTGTTTCAATCATGCTCATTCTACCTCGTAGTGAATTGTAGTAGAGATAGAATGATATCTACATTAAGAATTTTGTATTTAAGTAGCTAGAAATACGAGTTTTGTAAAAGTGCCGACTTCTGTGGGGTGCCGATTGCAGTGGAAGTGATAGTAGTAACAAAATGTTCACTAATGCTTTATATTTTTCTTGTCGTACAAGATCTTGTTAATATTTGAAATCTTATATCTGCTTAGACGACAACCAAAATATTAAGTATTATCTTCACATTTCGCACGACATTCAAAGCTGTCTTAAATATTGCAATCCCCGCTGTGTATGGTCCGGTTCTCGCTGACACCTGGACCGTGGACCGAACCACAGGGGAACCGGACCAAAAAGTCCGGTTCGAACCATGGTTCAGGAGCGGACCACGGCAGCACTAGCACTGCAGGCAGATCAATACGGGAAGGACAGCCATTCTTTCCAGTTGTATACTTTAAGCTCATTCGGACTATTAAGAACAATTCGTTACAATTTGGAGGTCGCAAGTATCAAGAAACACATGTAAGTTATCAAACCGTTGAGTCCTCTTCCACATTATTCTCTTCCAAGGTAGAGACCGATGTCTTCTCGAAAAGGAACGAAATGGTGCCGCCAGGGACATCGCGAACAGATAATGGTTGTGTCACTTCATCCATGACCATAATGTTGTCCAGGTCAACGGCCGACAACAGTGAATCAAGCCTTGATTTAGGCTGCGCGAGGGGGTCGTTGTCATCGCTCACACTTGGAAGTACCAGATGGCGAAGAATGGCATCATGGATATTGTCGCTCGTCAATCTCCGCAGGCAATTGATGTGTGTCCACTCTCCAAGTGATGCAAGCTCTGCCTGTTTCTTCTTCATGTACTACATAATCGCGATTAGCACAATTCTGTGGACGCTGAACAATGGAATTGAAATCCTTACTGCTCCATCCATCTTCTCAATGTGACGGGGTTTGACTTGTGACGCATTGACGAAGCCGGTTCCTGCTGAATCTTCGTCGTCATCATCTTCACCCACTTCTATATCGCTCCTGGAAGTGCTCGTCGTGTTGTCACTGAACTGCTTCGAACCGGCATCACATCCGCAATCCAAAAGGTCATGAGTGTTGCAGCCTGTCTCAGGATGGACCCGGAAAATATCCCGAAGCTGTAAATGGGTGTATTAATTACCGGTCACCTCCTAAGCAGAAAAAAAGTACGTCTTTCCGTGAAAATGAGTCTGACTTTGAGCCGGATGATCCCTTGAATGTGATGATATAAACCCCGTCACGGAAAAAAGAAGAAAATATTGGCTTACCGAGCCCATAAGAGCTTGGTGCATGTAATTGAGCGCCGGAATCTGACAGAACAAAAAATTCACTCACAGTTGCTAAGTCCAATCTTGGTCACCTGCCTCTGATAGATTTTCTCTTCCCAGAGGCGATATAAACGCATTGTACATCTTGTCAGCAAAAACACTCACCATCGATTGTTCCTGCAGTAAGAAATCGATAGATGAAAACTGGCCGCTTCTGCCCGTCGCTATGATATATAGTAAGCGCAAGATGTTTTTGATGATTTTCTTATTCACCGATGAATGCGCGCCATGGACTGAAGGTCATGACTTGAATGGAAAATCTCATTTAGCGCCATCGTATCTTTACATATGCCACACACCTCGGGTTCCAATCAGAATCTATCAAACATAATCTTGACGCGCCGATAAGGTTGAGCCCAACGCCGCCCGCCTTTGAACTCAGCAGGAATAGAACTGTCCTCAACAAGATCAGATTGACACTCATAAGTGCGAACTGAGTAACCTACAATGGCTGTATTGTGATGATTTATTAAAGGTGTTGACATATTCCTGCCTTTTCGCTGCTGGTGTCTGACTACAGCAGTATGATGTGAGACAATCAAAAATACTACAATGTGGAATGAAAACTGTACCCATCAAGCCGGAAGTAAGTATAAGATTTCTTCTTGCAGAAGGCTTCGATCAAATTGAGGGTGGATGTGTAATGTGAGACAATGATGCACTTTTCTTGCGTGCGCTACATAGTGGTCAAATAAAGCCAACAATTAGTCAAGCAGACTTACCTCTTTGATAGCTTTGAGGATGTGAGACAACGCCAGAAGCTTGCCTAGTATGAACATGAATCAAGCCAAGAAACATTATCAAAGAGAATGGGACTCACCGCTCATGGAGACGTCTTCGACTCGGACATCTTTAGGTAATAAACTTAAGGCGTCATCGACACCTGGGCGGCGAATTGCATCGGTGTTTGTCGCTCTTGCCTTATCTGTTTGAGTCTTGAGCAACACGGGACTATTGCTGACTTTTGTGAGTATGTTGATTAAAGCAAGTGACTCTGCAGTCGGTCCATCAATTAGCCTATCTAGCTTGTCGGGGTTAAGAATAGCTGAGAATATGGACAATTGCAGTTGCGTCGGAGTGATAAACACCACATATTCGTCTGTTCAGAACGTCAGATATCTGGACTGCAGGTAGAGAAATAGGATACGTTTTGGTGGAAGATAATTCTTGAGAATGCTGGCTTCTCGTCGCAATACGAAGCTTTTCGCGATCAAAGACAACTTTTGATGCCATTCAGCAGCTGAACGAAACACAATTATTCTACAAACCTGAGCTGACCGAGCCTCGCCAAGCTCAAGTTCCTTAGCCGTGCAATCTGGTGCTCTGCTTTTGAGGATAGGAACCTCGTAAACTCTACGGAATGTAG